TCACTCGTCCTCTTCGATGACTGGAGTAACGCTGAAGCTGCTTGGCTCCGAGGCGGACTCGCATTCGAGCACTCCCTTTGTGCTCTCGTTACTAATGGGAGAGCTGCTGGAGAGGGAAACCAAGCCAGAATCTTGACTGCTGGGCGGCGAGAATACTGGGTCGTGGGGAAAGACAGGGAGGGAGAAGAGCACGTTAAAAGTAGCCAGTCTTTCTACATTCAGGATTCGGTGAGGTTTCAACAAAGATAGAGGCGCTCTGCATCTCCATCCTGCGTTCAAAGCGTGGTTACAGGCAGTCATTACAACCCCCAGCGTTTCTTTAGAATTAAAAAAAACAACAACAGTATTTCTGCACAATATCTATTCAGTTATCTGTTTGCATTTGAAAGGGAAAGTTAGGGAGCAGAATTCTGGATTTATGTGCATAAGGAAAAAAAATAACCAATCTGCATCCCCCTCTTTGGGGAAACTATTTCCACCCTTCACTGAACCCCTCCCCTTTATGTAAAGGATGCTAATAGAACTTGTCTTGTCAAATGATCCGTCTGACAAATTACCCCCAGCAAGACTCCACCCATGTATTTCCACCATTTGACAGGTAACCCTAAGTTTTTCAACATATAGCAAGCAAAGGTGATAGCTTATCAATTTTCCTGTTATTTCTCTTCGATATACAGGGACAAACACTTGCTGTTTACATAACTTCTGCAAACCAAAAAGGAAATGGGAGGGAAACTTTTTACAAAATATGGAAAGTTTAATACCTTCACAAAAACAGAAGTCAGGTAAAGATTTTAAAAGCAAATCTGTGAACATAAAACTCTACTAGGAAACTGACATTAAATATGAAAGATGCCAAATGTGCTCAACAATGTTTGCAACCTCACAAGCCACAGTAGATACAAAATTTAAGCAAAAGGGTCTCTGACCTTCTTAACCTTAGCCGAGTTCAGATCCACCCCCAGAACTCCCTTCCTGCCTAGTGTGAACGTAATTAAGGGGAAGCTGCAGTGGCAATTTCTCTCCTCATTAACTTCCTGATTGGTTTCAGCCTCAGGATTCTGCCGGGCAGTAGTTTGTCACCAATTCCAAATGGCCAATCGTTAATACTAATGTTTGTGTAACTAACTGCCAGCATCTGCCACGGCTTCTTGTACAACAATAATGGTGAAAGGGTACATTAGTGCTCCTGTGTTAATTCAGCTTGTGTTCATCAATAGGGAAATCTATGATGTAATTAGCAAAATGCACTGGGAACTGAGTGCTGAAGTCATTTGTAGGGAACTAAATCATCGTAGAAGCTGCACCGAGTCCTGATGTGTTTGCCATCAATACTTATTATGTTTGGGATTTAATAAGGTATATTACCGTGCTGAAAAGAGACCTTTTTACAAGAGAACACTATTTACGCTTGTTATGGGTTTGGAAAAGGTTTGCTGCAGCTAGTGGAAACACACAGAACTAAAAGAGCAGAGCTAGGATTTAAGAAGCGGACCTTTAAAACCACTCCACTGGACCAAATTATCTCAGAAGGCTCCTTTCTTCTAACGTGACATACGGATGGATAGACAGAAGAACGGAGAGTTTTGTAGGGCTGCCTCAAAACCTCCAAGAAGGCAAGGCATGATCTGGAAACTTAGTGAATAAATCTGAAAAACAATTTGGGCAATTTCCTGACAAACAATTACCTTTGATACTGATGGTATTTGCTTAGTAACTGAAATTAAAAAGCAAGGGTAATAGTGTGTAAGCCTTTTTAAGTGGAGCGCTGTTAAGTAGTACTTTACAGACACCAACAAAGCATACACATGCACGCCAACCAAAACAACTGGGAACCTAAAAAACCTGAAACCTTCATTTTACTGCAGTCCATAAAGGCTACATTTGAAGTGTTACGTGGATTTAAAAATCCCCACAAATCCAAGATGATTTATGAATTGTGCTACATACACAGCACGTTGTATATACAAAGAAATGTTTTCCAAAGGCGGCACTTTGCTCTGACATCTTGGAACTACACAAAGATCTGGAGAGCCATCTAAGAACCAACCAGGGAGGGGGTATGAGTTATCTGCCCACCGCCCTCAACCCACCTCAAACCAGTGATGGAACCTTCTCTGTCTGGAAGCGCTGGGGACGAGAAGGTTTACTGCCCTACCTCCTGTATGCCACATGCTGCAATGAAATACTTAATCCTCAAACCAGTCACCGAAAGAATCACCCCCGCCGGTTGATGGAGGGGACCCCGTGCCTGTGGCACTTGTCAGCACCACCCCCTGGGTTGCCCCCCCTGGAACATCCCACCCTCCTTGGGTGCCACACTGGCCTGGGAACCCTCCTCATCTCCGTGGGGCGGCGGCGAGTTTAAGGAGGCAAAAGAACTGACCCTTGTCAGACTGATGCAGTGGCCAGAAAGGAGTGAGTGAGTGCTCTCTGCCACGTTCTGAGCCCTGGGCCTGCCTTCTGCCTTCAGTCAGCAGCTGGCCCACGAGATGCCCCTCCACCCCAGCCGTGCGCCTCTTACCCCCATTTAACTGATCCGTGACCAGAAAAGGGAGGGGCAGGAATTCTGCAAAAGGAAGAAATGTGGGCACAGCTCCCTTTGGCCCTCAGTTGCCTTGTGCGTGTTTTCTTGGAAAGTACTCCTGTGACTCAGGCTACAGAGACACACGCAGTGTCACCTGCAGAGACGGGGGAGGCTCCAAGCACTCCTAATCCATGACTGCACTCAGGGAAGATGCAAATAAATGAACTCAACCGGTTTTGGAAAGGGTCAGCATTTTTCAGGGTTTCTCCACTCAAAATTTAAATCGATGTCATTTTTACTTTTGTCCAAGGCTTGGCATCGTCTTTGAATAGTGGGACAGTGTTTGCTGAACTCATTTTGTGTGGCCCCCTCCTAAGAGTAGTTAAGGATTTCAGAAGTGTTATCCTGGAGACGAATGTCCAAAATGTGTTTTAGTAGTGTCCTTAAAGGTACACTCTCCGTTTTAATGCAGCTTCATTAAACTCTGTTGGGGGAAGAGTAGTAATTGGTCACTGTAAATCATTTTATACCAATTAAAAATTCCAAAGTCAGAGTTATCCTTTCTGCTTTTTAAGTTGATTTTAATGAGCCTGACACAAGGCTCATTTCAACTCAAAAGGTTCCTCTTAATTATTTTGTAAAAATGCTAATGCCTTGTGTCAGTGGGACTGTAAGAAAAGGTACAGTGTTGGTAGCACTAGAAATTGGTTCGGTCTTTCTGGACAGCAATCTAGTGACATGTAATGAGAACCGTAAAACTGTTCATCCCCTCTGACCCGGTAATTCCACTCTGGGGAATAAACCCAAAGAAAGAAAGAATAATTGGCCCAGAGATGCTCAACACACGACTATTTGCATCACTGAAGATGTCAGTGCTTCGCTCCGGGCTGGGACTGGGCGGTGGGGGGATGGGGACAGCTGAGCTCGGGGAGGGGGGGCAGGAAGCTTTCACAAGGCAATAAACAATTCAGGATTATGCTACCCCTCGATCACGGGCAGGCTCCCAGCATTTACAGAAATGGAAGAAATGACTTCTGGAGACCGAGGTAGAGCCTAAAAAGTAAGAAAAAGGAAGACTTGCCCATCTGCTCTTTTCTCCGGTTCCAGTGGAAGGTGGGGAGACCTCGGGGCTGACCCTTGATTGAACCAGCAAGCCCAGTATCTGTTTTCTCTCAAGTAGCCTATTTGTCCACCGAAGGAGGGGCTTTCTTTTACTATTACTTAAAAGCAAAAAACCTTGCACATAATCACTCTCCCCGGTGCTGGGAGAAAAGAAAAAAATTTAAGATAATGGCAGCAACGCCATCTAACCATCACCGTACCGCCACCCCCAAAACCCACCTCACCAAAAAAACCAAACAAAAACCACTCTAACTGCTAAATCTTTCGACACTGCAAAGACCCCTGACTTTTAACTTGAATGATCTGTTGGAAGTCAGTGGGCTGGAACGAATAATTCTCCTCCAATGATGTGAGAAAACAGGATATTCATGCTTGAGAAAAATTTTTCTTCCTCTCTATGTTAAATACTATTCAACGCCCACTAAGAAACCACTTAAAAATAAGAATGCAAGCAGCATTCTTCAATTGTTAGCAACTCTTCACCTCCGAGGGGACAGGGAGAAAAACAAAAGTGCTGGCCTCGGAGTCTGATGAAAAAGCTAATGAAAATTTCTCAAACAACAAATTCTTCCGCTTCATGATAAACCGTAGTGTTTGGAAATAAAATCCCTTCCAATCAATACCACTTAGCAGATATTTAATGTTTCACAATGGAACTCTTTTCCGCTGTGAAACTGCTGCCCCTTCTCACTAACGTTTAAAATAATTAGGATTATCTGAGCCAGTCCGAAGCTTGGCAGGTTCAGTCTGTACTTTCAAACAGCATTAATTCTTGGCACTCGGAACAAGGGATAAAAGGTAAAGATATGAATGGAGATCTTTATTCAACCCGATCTATCACGGATTAGTTCATTCTTTTCCAGTTCATGCCTGCACTCCAGTTAAGGGGAGGGCAAAGCTGTAACTGATGTAATTAGAAACCACAAGCTGAGAAAAAATAGCCCTTTATTAATCTCCCCATTTACTATGTATTTACTAAAATATATATATGTGTATATATATATATATCTATATATGTATATATACATATATATAAAATCTTCGAAACAATTAAGTGTGTTTTTTCCCCCAACCTAAGTGTAATTAAAGGACAGTGACAAGAGAGCTGTTGAGGATTACGCCTCCCTTGAAAACACGTCTTCACGGGCAGTTCTAAAATCTAACACCGATGCTGAGAGGGGCCAGCTCTGTGCTCTGCATGTTGTCGAGACAAGTGGCCGAGCCACGGTAAAGGAAGGTTCCTGTGGTTGGCAGCAGACACAGGTCACTGCTTCTCTCTTGACGGAACCCTCACGACCTTTTGAAGCACTGGGAAGGGCGGTTTCTACAAACGAAGTGAACGTGTAAGAGAAAGTACCCATTATGCAATATTAACAGTACCTCCGTCCCTCTAAATTTCTTGCATAACAAGGAGACACAACTCCCCAAATCACGCCAGCACACTTTCATTCTCAAAGTAAGCAGTAACCATGGAGCACCCTTCAGGAGCACGCTGGAGAGAGCGAG